AATATGCATAAACATCCAATCTCAATTCCTATTAGGAAAAAGGAATAATTTTAACCATTAGTGTTACATGATAGGGTGGATATTTGAAGTAACCAAAAGCAAAAAGTATTTCTAAATATTGGCTTGGTTTTTGATGGTCTGATGGTTTCCTCTCTTGGAAATAAAGGAAAGGTATCAAAAATTCCACCATTCTTGTCTAAAAATCAGACCTTGTTTTTGATGACCTGTATTGCTAGAATACTAGGAAAAGTCCTGGAGAGTGCTCTTCTCCGGGATCAAGTACAGTTGGCACACAATGGAAAATCCACTGTGAAACACTGCTGTGAGCTTTTAGAGTTGAGGGTAATGGAAAGAATGATGGTTGAGCACAATCCAGAATGAAGTAGGCTTTTGAGATGGAAACCTTGACAACTCACTTCTGGAAAGACGTTTTCTGAGCTAGTTCTGCAAAGATGCAGAGGCCATCTCTGTATTACTACTAAGCAGCCTGATACTCAAATAGTATCTTAGGCAAAATAATCTGCCAAGATATATTTATTGGATTGCTGAAGAAGGATTAGATGTTAGTCTTCTCCAGAAATAACATGTCCTTGGTCTCTGATCAATCTTTTAATTCATTTTTAAACTTTTATCAAGCATCTTATTTGGTCAAGGATCTGATAATCCCCTCTAAGGTGTCCAGGTATACAAACTAGATGTATCATTGTACTAAGAAGTGAAAATATGACAATAGCTTCTCTTGAGTATCCCTGCCTATGCTACTGTTGAAACATTTGCACCATGCTTGTATAGGCCACTGAGTATAGATATTAACTCTATTAATCACCACACCTCCATGAACGTCGGTACCATTTTATAGATAAAGGAATAAAATAGCATGCTGCCTACATTTGCATGCATTTGAACAACAGAACCAAGACTTGAACACAGGTTAATCTCACCAGGGCCACTCCAGGATCATCTCTGGGAAATGCTTTCCAAGAAGGCCTTCCAAAATTAAAAGATTATCTTGCTCAGAAGCCAAGTGGAACTCTGTCATTCAGAATATATCTAAACTATGGAACTATAAATATCACCTGCAGTTTCTTGAAGAGAAATGACTCTCCTCTCTGTGTGAGTTAGATGACATATGCAGCTCATATGATATGCACTCAATGAATGATTTTTTCCTCTACAGTAGTGGCTATTGGTTCTAGAGTTAAACTATCTAATCCCATAATACTGGCTCTAGGTATGGGACTTTCGGCAGGTTACATTACTTCCTTGAGCTTCTGTTTCCTCATCTATAAAAGGGGTAATAGTAGTATCTATTTGATAGCATTATTGTGGGGATTAAATGAAAATGTCTGTGTGAGGTGTTTAGCACAGTGATTAGCACTATATTAAACCCTCAATAGGTGTTATTTTTTTCATATTTCCTTTAATTCAGGCTACATTATGCAACCAAATATAGATGATCTAGGTATTGAATACGATCAAAGAAAAAGAAGGCTAATATATATCAAGCCTAATCAACACGTAAATAAATATTCAGTGATTTTCCACACGTAGATTATTCTCTCTTTCATGTGGTTGATTATTGAGTAAAACTTCTCCAAAGTTCATGAGTAGGCATAGCCATAGAAAAACTATGAAGTGGATAAAGCTTGTCTTTTTTTTTTTTTTTTTTGCTTTGCTTTGGGATGGAGTCTCGTTCTGTCACCCACACTGGAGTACAGTGGCACAATCTCAGATCACTGCAACCTCCACCTCCCGGATTCAAGCAATTCTCCTGCCTCAGCTTCCTGCGGAGCTGAGACTACAGGCATATGCCATCACACAGGGCTAATTTTTGTATTTTTGGTAGAGACAGGGTTTAACCATGTTGGCCAGGGTAGTCTAGAACTCCTGACCTCAAATGATCCACTCATTTCGGCCTCTCAAAGTGCTGGGATTACAAGCGTGAACCACTGCATCTGGCCTAAACTTGTCTTTTTTTTTCTTAGTCTCCAAGTTGCAATAACACCAATTGCATTTATAGTAAAGCCTGATTTTAAGTATGAACCTAGAATTTATTTGCAGTAAGACGTAAATGCATTCATTCAATAACAAATATATACTAAATAATTTTAACTGATTACAGTCTGAAATAATCCCAGGAGTGCTTAAAAAAATTGTACACTTCAGAATTAAAGCCACTTTGATAGATCATCTATTCTAATATAATCACACTAAAAAGAAAATTGAGATCCTGAGAACTTTGTATTTTAAGAAGAACTGAAAGAACAAAGCTTTATTAGTGGCATATTTGGCATGAGTCAACAGATAGGGAATATATACCAACAAGGTAACATTATTAAATCACTCATTCAGGTAGCTGCTCCCCAGCTCATTCCTAAAGAAAAGTCTTATCCATAGGTCCAAGGAAAGCTAGTTGTTTATTTGAAGCAGAGGGTTGGAGGAGATACCAAGTGTTCCCACGTGCTTCTAGGAATGTTCTAGGCTTGCTTTCTCATCACCAGTATGCTTACCATCATCATTTCAACAGGATTCCTACCTACAAAAAGAATTACCATCTATCTCTCTTTATAAGATTTTCAAATAATTGTAAGTAAATTCTTCAATCTTAATGCCCAATTCTAAGTGTTTCTAGCTAGTCAAAAGGGCATTAAGAAAGCAGATCAATAATTGGGTGGTAATTTTATGTGTGAATAGAATGTCATTAATTTGAAGGCTCACCTAACTCTATTTCTGGGAAGTGAGAAATAGTTAATCAAGGACAGTGGTGCATAGCATCACTCTCACAGACAGGGAGAGTGCCTCACAAAGCATTACTTTGGAATACTTTACTCCAAAATCTGGTAGCTATGTGATGGTGAAGGATAGAATCAGTCATTTTCCTTTGTCACTGGACCACCATTTCTTTTTTTTTTTTTTAACCTGAGACAGAGTCTCACTCTGCCGCCCAGGCTGGAGTGCAGTGGCGTGATCTCAGCTCACAGCAACCTCCACCTCCCAGGTTCAAGCAATTCTCCTACCTCAGCCTACTGAGTAGCTGAGATTACAAGTGCCCACCACCACGCCTGACTAATTTTTTTATTTTTAGTAGAGACGGGGTTTCACCATATTGGTCAGGCTGGTCTCCAACTCCTGACCTTGTGATCCGCCCATCTCAGCCTCCCAAAGTGCTAGAATTACAGGTGTGAGCCACCATGCCTGGCAACATTTAATACACAGTGCGAGCAGTGAATCAGAGATGAATATCCAATGCTGGGCGTGGTAGCTCATGCCTATAATCCTAGCACTCTGGGAGGCCAAGGCGAGTGGATCACTTGCAGTCATGAGTTCGAGACCAGCCTGGCAAACATGGCAAAACCCCATTTCTATTAACATTACAAAAGTTAGCTGGTGGTGGTGGTGTGAGTCTGCAGTCCCAACTACTCAGGAGGCTGAGGCAAGAGAATCGCTTGAACCTGGGAGATGCAGCTTGCAGTGAGCAGAGATTATACCTTTCTACTCCAGCCTTGGTGACAGAGCAAGAGACTCTGCCTCAAAAAAAAAAAAAAAATGTTCACACCAATGCTGAAAATAAAAAGCCAGGTTCAAGAGCAGCTTCTGTAAAAGACAGGTTGCCACAGAAAAAGCTAAAAATGTGAAAAGGTTTCAGTTTACCAAGAAACCCTCCAGCCATTCACTTATCACAAGGCAGTGTCGATGACCCTCTTGAAATATGCGCTTTGCTCCTGTTCCTTGTCTAAATGCAGCAAATCACTAGTTGACAGCTGTACTCTGAGCACAAAGTGGTGACCCCTGGAACCCTGAAAACTGACTGCTTCCCACTTTGTCTACTTAAATATCAATCTTACAAGCTCCATGAAAACAACTATAACAGACTATTAAACTGATTTTCTTATTGTCTTAGAATTTTAGCAGAGGCCCAAACACTGTAGAGTGGAGATTATAAATTCAGAGCTAAGACCCTGTAAATCTTGATATATGGGCTGCTGACACAAAGATGGAGTTTTGGTTCATCACCTCTAACAACATGAGTGCTGAAGATGTTCTTGGGACTTGTCAGTGGGTTATGCAGTCCCTCAACACAAAATAGTGTAGGAGAAAGAAGTGCTTCTGCTCCCCTACCACCCAAACCAAATGAGGAAGGCTTTGGAAACCTACCCACAGAGCTACACCTGTGCTCCTAGAAGTTAGGTGGCACAAGCTGTTGTACGTGACTCAAACCTAAGCAATGTAAATATGAGAGACTGATTCAACACCCTTGAGAACGGAGTGAAAAAACAGGGCTACAATGGAAATTAACTGTACTCTCACCAGTGGTGGGAAAAAATTATACGTATTCTGAGAGCCAAGTATGGATTCCATGGAAAAGAGCTGACCTTTAATCACATTTGTAGCCACCCTAAATAAGAGGCCCACCTGGAAAGATGAAGTGCCACCAACAGAGAACCGGAGGAGCAGACCAGATGCAGTGGCTCACACCTGTCACCCCATCACTTTGGGAGGCCAAGGTGGGAGGATCACTTGAGGTCAGAAGTTTGAAATCAGCCTGGCCAATATGGTGAAACCCTATGTCTACCAAAAATATAAAAATTAGCCAGGCATGGTGGTGCATGCCTGTAATCCCAGTTACCTGGGAGGCTAAGGCAGGAGAATTGCTTGAACCCAGGGGGCAGAGGCTGCAGTGAGCCAGATTATGCCACTGCACTCCAGCCTGGGTGACAGTGAGACTCTTTAAAAAAAACAAAAGTCTGAGGATCGTGGGTCACTGGAAATGAGAGGCTTAAAAGGAAACTGTGAATGGCCAGTTGTAGGAGGTGTCACCTGTGTCAGGGACCTGCAGAGGGACAAGCCACAGCTGTGGGCTCTTCTAATAACTCATAAAATCTCATCAAGAACCAGTTTTGGCACATCTGCCTTGGCAGAGGGGGAGAGCCAAGAAAGCTGGAGAAAACCTTTTCAATGTCTGAATTTTTCCCATCTATCTTTGCCCTCTCCAATCCCAGGGAATCCAGAGGCAACAAGGAAGGAGTGCAAAAACTAATAATAATAATAAAAGAAACCATCAAGCCCACCTTTCCATTGCAGAGTTTCAGCCAGAACTGAGATGGGATGAATAAAATGAGAACAGCTTGCATATTGAAGTACATATTAAAGTTTGTATATTTTACAAAGGATTCTTCCTTATTCCTTTTCTATTTATCCAAACCCCACCTACTCTTGTTTTATTACTTGGAAATGAGATTGACTATAACATGACAAGCTGTGGAGTCTGCCTGAAATTTCACCTAAGGCAAGGGAAGAACAATTCAGCAGAATAGGTTTAAAGCGACAGGAATGAAGAATAAAGGTGTTTTCTGCTTGCTTTTAACAAGTCCAATTTATTTAATAAAGCGTGGTATTGTGTTAGTGTTTATGCACACATTCTGCAATTAGTACTTTGGAGCTAATAACTGCATTTCTCCAAATAACTGCAATGATGCCTTACGTTTATATTAACAACTTATATGTGTCAGACATTGTGCTAAATACTTTTACAAGCATTATTCCATTCGAGTTTAGTGATCATCTTAAGAAATTCATTAAAACTATTTTACAGTTAAGGAAACAAAGCCTAGGTTAAATAAGTTGAGTAAGATCACACAGAAAATGGTGGAGGCAGAAACTGAGCTCACGTAGCCTGTCTGCAAAGCCTAAATTCTTATTCAATGGGCTTCCCTCGTAAAACATTGGACTAGGCATTATATAAAATAATCAAATAGTTAATGTTTTTAATGTCTATGCCTATGCCAATATCCATTTTTATCATATTGTTTTCCATTTTAAATATTCAGAAATGGTCACATTTTCTATTTTTATCTAGGTGGCAGGAATGGAATTTTCTGCAATGAAGGAAATGATCTATATCTGTGCTGATTGACATAGCAGTCAGTAGCCACATGTGACTGCTGAGCACTTAAATGTGGCTGGTGCAGTGGAGGAACTAAATTTTTACTTTAATTTTATTTAAATGTATTTAACTTGAAACTTAAATGGTCATGTGGGGCTAGTGGCTATCACATTGGAATAACCAAAGATAATACTGCAGGCCTATCTTGGCCTGTCTGTCTATTGGCAAATCCAGGTATACTATATATCACACACCCATAATAGAGACTCTAGATTACCTGAAAAATAAAGTTCTAGATTAAGGAGGAGGTAAGTGACTCATTTCAGCCAAAAATCCTCCCCCCAAAAATCTACCTAATATCTAGGATGACACCAAAAGTTTCAAAGATTGCTTTGGATATAGGGATTTGGATTTCCAATATATTTTAGGATGTTCTCACAGAATCCAAGCTGATGGACATTTTTATATCACCAAAGTGATTGTCATAAAACCTTTTTTTCAAAATTAAAAAAAGGAATAACTTCCCAGTGGTTAGACTTAGATTGAGCTAAATATTTACTATCTGATAATCAAGACACTTACCAACAGCTAGAACATTCACTTGTTCTAGGCAACATTTTAAGACTGACATTCTGAAAACAATTTAAAAGACAATCAAGACAAAGAATGTTCTGAAAAGATGGTCATATGAGAGGACATGGAATTGTTAGCCAAAAGAGAAGGCACAGATGTCGTATAGGTGCTACTCTTAAGCAATTGAATGCTTGTCGCAGAGGAGGAGAGTCTTATTCTATGCTATCCAAAGAGAAGGACTGAGATCAAAAGAGAGGACTTGGGAAATAGGAAACCCCAATGTAAGCAACAGCAGGAAGTTGAGCTATTCAGCAAAATTCACTATTTAAGTAGTGCACTCCAGCCACTAATTATGTTCAAACAGATTGCAGAAAATTTAAACTTATAGTTAAAATGGAAGTCCAGGCTGGGCATGGTGACACACACCTGTAATCTCAGCGCTTTGGGAGGCCGAGGTGGGTAGATCACCTAAGGTCAGGAGTTCGACATCAATGGTGAAACTGTCTCTTCCAAAAACACACAAAAAAATTAGCCAGGCTTAGTGGAGTATGCCTGTAGTCCCAGCTACTCAGGAGGCTGAGGCAGGAGAATCACTTGAACCCAGGAGGCGGAGGTTGCAGTGAGCCAAGACTGTGCCATTGCACTCCAGCCTGGGCGAGAGAGCGAAACTCTGTCATAAAAAAAATGTAAGCCCATATATTTCTACGGTACTTAGTGAAAAGTTGTCACAGTGACCTTAAAAATGTAAAAGCTTGGTTTAGCCATTCCTTTATGTTTTTGTTTTTTTTTAAGGACAGTGCTTTGTGAATATTTATATGTTACTTATAAAATGTAAGTTATAGCCGTATCTATGCTATATCTTGTCATTAAAATTTGGATATCTAAATACGTTTTCTAAAAAGGGCAAAGAGCTTTTCCATATATTTTGTGATTTAACAGCTCTAAAGACAACTGATGTATAACTTTGAGATGATAAATACTTATAAGACATTATATTTGTTGGAATTAGTTGAAAATTCTGTGTGTTCTAATAAAGTTGTAAATTATGTTTACATAGGAGGCAAAGTTTGCTGATCAATCCTGTGGAAATTAGTCCAATGTAAGACAGCACTGACATGATTCAACCTATGTAAAGTACTAAGTAAATTCTCTTAGAATTAGCAACATATCTAAAAGCGTTCTTTCTTGCAAATATTATTTTGCAAGTAAGACAGATATAGTCATATATTAACAGACTGATTTCAAGATGCAATGCCCAAATCTTTTCCAAAACTTTTTAAACTTTTGCCAGGAATTCATTTTCTCCCTTTTCTATTTATCCAAGTACTACCTATCCAAGGCCCTTGCAAGTCTCTTTACCATGAAGACTTCCCAGACTGCCTTAGCCTCTTTTAAGTTTATACCATGGTCATGCCTGCATTACTCTATGCTACACACTCCTTACCATAGAATTCCTAAGTATTCTTAATCCTTGTGTATATTTCTGTTTAACTATGTTGGCTTATACCTGTTCTAACACAGTGACTTGCATTAAAAGGCCATGGTATATGCTAATTTCTTGATCGAGAAAAGTTGGAAAATCCATAGATGGGAGAACTGGCCAGACCAGGAAGAATTTCTATCCCAGTTTTCTTTGCTATGTAACAAATTACTGGAAAACTAGGTGGCTTCAAACAAGCATTTTATTATGTTCAAGGATTAATTGGGAATTTGGAAAGGAGACATTAGGGCTGGCTTCTCTCTGCCATGAGGCCTGGGGTCTCAGGTGAGAAGACTAATCACTCATATCTGGTGTTTTAGAGGGAATGGCTCAAAGGTTAAGACTGCCACACTGAGCGCCCATCTGTGGCTTCTCTGTGTGGCTTGGCTTCTTCTTAGCATGGCAGCCCCAGCGGAATCAGACAAGACTCCCAGAAGGAGTATTTAAGTGTACCAAGTGAAAGCATTTTTGGACCTCACCTCTGAAGTGACATAGTGTCACTCTCACCATACTCTATTGGTTGAAGCAGTCACAGATTCAAAGTGGAAAAAATATAAACCCCATCTCTTCATGGGAGGAGTGGCAAGGTCACATTATCACATAGCATGTGGGATAGGAACTATTGTAGCATCCATCTTTGGAAAGTACAATCTGCAATGTTTAAATTCTTTGGAAAATGCAATTTCTAAGCCAGTTCTAGGTTTTAACAGGCTACAGTTTTGGATATGTTCAGTGTGTGACCAAATGTTCTGGGACTACATAAAGTCCACAGCCAGAATATCTTGTTAATAACAGTATCAATAATAGACATCATTTGTTGACACACGCTAATGAATACTTACCAATGTCTTACAAGCATTACCTAATTCCTCAAATCAATGCTATGATAAAGAGCTAATCATGATCTCATTTTACTAACAAGAAAATTGTGGCACAAAATTTTCAAGTAAGTTGGGCAAGGTCAGTGGAAGCAAGATTTGATATCAACCATGTCTGTCTGACTCTGTAGTCTAGCTTCTTAATCCTGAAGCTGTACTGACTCTATATACAACATTGTCAGAAGCATGTGAACCAGTGCAACTCCATCTTGTATAAGAGCTGGGTAAAACAAGGCTGAGATCTACTGGGCTGCATTCCCAGAAGGTTAAGACATTCTAATACATAGGATGAGATAGGAGGACAGCACGGGTCATAAAGACATTGCTGATAAAACAGGTTGCAGTAAAGAAGCCAACCAAAACCCACCAAAACCAAGATGGCAACAAGAGTGACCTCTGGTCATCCTCATTGCTATACTCCCACCAGTGCCATGACAGCTTACGAACACCATGGCAATGACAGGCAATGAACTTTATGTGGTCCAAAAGGGGAAGGCATGAGTAATCCACCCCTTGTTCATCATATCATCCAGAAATAACCATAAAAATAGGTCATTAGCAGCCCTCGGGGCTGCTCTATCTATGGAGTAGCCATTCTTTTATTTTTTTTCTTTCTTAATAAACTTGCTTTCACTTTACACTATGGGCTTTCCCTGAATTCTTTCTTGTACAACATCTGGGGGTCTGAACCAGGACACCTTTCCTGTAACAACACTGTGCATCTTAAAGGCTTCTGAGCCCTTCCATCTTATAGCTTTTGTAAATAACTAGGTCTACATGGGGAATGTCACTTGTATCACTGATTCCCCCTGTAGCATGTTATATCGTTCCTGGTTATGTTTCAGCATGCACAAGCCCTTCTGGAAACTGAAAAATTATGTTTCATTCTGTTCCTCTAACAGCACACAGCTTGGTCATAAATGCTTCTGGAATTTGTTTTCATCAGCTCAGTGCATCATTTCTTCCTTTGTTCCTGCCTGTCACAGCAACGTCAAAGCAGCAAGCAAAAACACATCCACTGATAATTCTTTATCTTCCAACAGCAATTTTTGCTTCTATGTTTGAATCATGCTTTAGGGCTCATACCCTGTTCCGGAGTGAATGTATTATATTACGTATTTGGAAGAGGCTTACTTAAGTGCCTGAGTGGTTTTCTCCATTTTATGGGGCAGGTTATTGTAGCTTACTGCCCAAATTTTTCCCTTCTAGTTAAACACAGATTAGTGAAACCTGAAATACCCTGAGAATTCATTAAAGAAGAACTGCCAAATCTTTGAAAAACAGAATTTCCACATAGATTTCCCTATAGCTATGCTTATCAATTTGTAGAAAGCTAAGAACAAATACTTCAAGAAATGATTAACTGTCTGAATGAAATTGCACACACACACAAAAGAGCCACTTAATAAACCAAC